ACAATGTTATGTGGTTGAATTGCCAAGCCATTAGGGTCAATTAAATAGAGAAAAGAATGAACGGCATCATGAAGACCACAAGGGAAAGGACTTTCTGGTGCTAATCGATAATTTATTGCTAGTGTTTGAATTGTTTGAATTTCATTGGATAATTTCATTGGATAATTATTGGATAATTATTTATAATTATTGGATATAGATCAACACATGACAACATGTGACAAATTACGAACCAACCAAATAGCATATATATATGAATGCGTGTGTACATACCAAAAACTCTCCTTCCAGTTACTTTCGATAGACGATAGTTTAATTCTCTATGCGTTTTAGCTGACATAAGATAGTAAGCACCACCGTGTAGATATAAAATTACTTTTTCGTTTGACCATTTAATACCATCTTGATCAACATATATATGCTTATAATGAGCAGCTGATAAATGATAATCATCGTTAATTTTTCTCCATAATCCTTTGGGTACAACCCATTCAGCACTAATCTCTCGATTTCCTGTTTCACAATCTTCTAAATCCTTTAATATACCAGGTAATCCTCTATTCAAAACTCTAAATGATACAGGTGTAACAACGATATCTGAAGGGGAAAAGATAAAAGGAATGCTAATAAACATTCTTATTTTATCCACGTCAGCCAAGTGGGTATGCTCGGTTAGGGCTCTCATGGCGGCACAAATTAACGTAAGTTGTATTGGCCAAGAAGGTTTACGGGGACCGGATAAATGGTGGGTGAGAAAATTTGCAGTTAAGATAGTTGCTTGAGAAGTTAATAACATGGCATGGTCAAATAATTTCCAACTATCTATTGAGGAAGAGGAACAAACGGATTTCTTTGATTTTTGATGTTGATTATCTTGTTTGTCGTCATTTCGTAATTTATCTTGAACAGATGCTTGAAAAGAAGCGAAATTATACATAGCAATCAATTTTAAAATAGTAATTTTTTTTTAATTTTTGAATTTCAGGTAATGGGGGTTTTTATATACGTTTTATTTTATCGATAACAAGCAGTATATAATGTAGTAAGTTTTTTGTGGGGATTGTTTGGTGGTCAGGCGACGATCAGAAATATCATTATATTTATTTGTATAAATGGCGAAGTGGCAAGCATATAATGATGATGCATAATATTTTTTAGATGAAAAGTATCTGATACTATTGGCTCATAGTAATAATTTGGTAGTTTTTT